AATAATGTTAAAAGCATAAATGGTGAGTAATGAAACAAAATGTGCAAAATATGCTTTTAAACAAGAAAAAGGAATTAAAGTATAGTATAAAATTCTATAAAGCTAAGCCGTTTAAATACTCTATAGAGCATTATTAAACAAATGCATTGACTTCGGAAATTTCATGGATTTAAGCTTAGTAGCAAAAAAGCCCCCGGCCCTGGACAGACGCTCGCATAAGACACTGCCGGCCTCCGCGGAAAGCGCGTGTTTGCGCTACCTGGCTCGAAGGGGTTAAACATATACACTGAATATGAGCAAGAGAGGCAATAAAATAATCTTAGATCTAACACAATATATGCTAGTATAAAATAAATAATAATAATAAACTACATTTCTTAAAACTTCCTTATTTCATTATTTTCAACATTATTTCCCTAATTATTTTACATAAATGCATAACATCAAAAATAAAATAATGGTAAAGGAATTAATAATATCAATAACAAGAAGCAATGCCAGTAACCAGATTTGAACTAAAAATTTCTCAGCTGTAGTATCATATAACACATGCTATCCTAGATTATACCATACTGAGCAATATACATAACATAGATATTATTTATTAGCTTTAGTCTAAATTTTCTCATTTATGACAGAAGTTCAGGACAATAGATTGTAATATATATTTTTAAGGTTCATAATTATTAAGAATTTGAGCATGATTTGCTCAAATCAGTTCATCATAATATTTATATAATTTCCTTTCTGAATGATGTATATGAACTGAATAAATAATGGACTTCTTAATAAAAACCGCTTGAATACATCAATTTTAACAATACGGTAACATCAAAAAATGAGTATTTCAAATAAATATACATTTTGTTGTGTGTTTCAGAAATATCTGCATATGAAATACTTATTTTTTTAACTTAACATTGTTAAAAACTTTCAAAAATGTAATATGAAAATACTGTAGTTACTTAATGCATTAATTCTGATCAGACATTCACTAATACTTACAAATTATTACTTAAATATAAAAACAACAAACCATATTTCTCTAAATTACAGTTAAAATTCCTCATTATTCTAACTAAAGTGAAAAAAAGGAGAGAAAAACGAATAAAACAAGTATTTTACATATACACTGAAATTAAACAACAGCAAATGAAAGAAATTATGCCAACAAGCTAACTGCAGTACTTTAACTTTCTGCTGACTAATATTTTATGTACATATTAGCACAAACTTTCATTAATTTCAATCTTTCTGCATACAATTATAAAAATACATCTAAATTGCATAATTAAAGTATATTAATGTAATAGACCAGAATAATATAAAAAATTTAAATCATTATTAATTTGCTACTGTTTAATGGGGACAATACAAATCCCCATACATTTACTTGATTTCTTTCTCACTAAGGTTGAAAGATACTGGCAAACATAAGGAATTATATTCAATGACCAAAATTTTGAATAAAAGAACAATGATTCAAAAGGAACAGAATATATGAGTCAAGAAAAGCATGGAATTGCAAGCCATGAGTGAAATAGACTTTTTTTTTTTTTTTTTTTAAGGGGAAGGGCAGTGGGTAAATTCCACATGCAGGAAAAAATTAAAATTATTAAGTGTTGATGATAAATCATCAGTTTCAAATAAATAAAAAATATAAAACATTTAAAGTTAATTTTAGCTTCAAGATTTCAGATAATTATAATTCTAATTTCTTATGCTCATAACTGCCTAAGAAAATCTTTTTATTCCTTACTTTGATACTCATAATTATTGAAACATATTAAAAATCACAATATGTCATAATTTATAACAAATACTATTCTTCTAGTAATACATAAAATAAGCTCAAAATATTTAATAGCATTTATTTATCATCAAGCAACATTACACAAATGAAGATATATTAAATCATTACAATGTATGATAAAATACATCACATATAATAATTTAAAGTAGAAAAAAAATTACCTCCGAATTTCTAAAAATTTTACTAGATGTATCACATATAAAATTTATAACATGATAATTTAAATCCACTACATCTTTTGAATCAATGAAATCTTTCAAGGTATACAAAAATTTGTCAACATTATTTTTATCTACCATAGGACCTAAAAAAGAAATATATGAAAAATTATACATGCAATTTTTTAGAAAAGTACATGACACACAAAATTTTTAAATTACACATTTCATAATTTTACAATAAATACAGAAAAACAAAAAGCATATTTCATTTTAACATTTACTTTAATGCATACACGTGTTTGTACTTAATTTATAGGCCACACTTCACTGATCATAACAATTCTCGTATATAGGCTATAATTTTTAATAACATAAAAAATTAGGAACGTTCATTGATCTTAATCATTCAATAGATTTCTGAAGCTAACAACTAAGATCATAAGTACATATTATCTTGTACGTTTTACCACATATACTGATTAAATACATAGAGTTAGATAATTTTAATTATTCAAAATAACTACTGAAACATTAGCTGAGCACAGATGTCAACAGGTGCATTAATTTAACTTGAGGAGGCAAATATCTCAGATCAAAATTTTAATTTATTACCTGTATTTTAAAACCAAAAAAATCTAAAAATTTACTTTGTCATCAAAGTTGTGACAAAAAATAAAAGCTTTTGGCATTTAAAGAGCTACATGGTTTGTTTTACATTTACATATCAGAAAATTCCTCATATTACATCCTTTGAATATATATATAAAATGTTTCTGCATACAATTTTACAAAAATAAACAATAAACCCTGAAATAAAAGGTATGAACGTAAAACGATAAATTAAAACATACAATTTACATATGAGATAGTATCATAAAACACACTCCAGCAGTTACACCATAATGCCTTAAAGGGGGCTTGCCAGGCTTATGCATCAGTTTGCAAGCAGCAATAGTTCCATGTAATCTGTATGCAAAGCAGAAAACATGAGCCAAAGACACAATTGGCATCGCAATCCGTTGTAGCAAGAGAGCTGAATGTGCATCATACTGTCTTCAAGAGGCTGCGGAATCATTACTATAGGGATCAAAACCCCTGTAGGTCTGGATACTGGAGGATTACCCCAGTGGCAGATGATCACTTCCTGTTACTAGGTGCAAGATGTAGTAGCTAACTAACAGCATGTCAGCTGCCCCTGCATCTTTCTGCTGCTACAGATGGCCCATATACAGTCAAAAGTCGTTAATCCGGACTCGTCGGGACTTCAGCGATTCCGGATTATCGATTTTTCCGGATTATAGATCATCAGTTTAAATCTGGTAAGATGGCATGCAGAAATTATATAATTAAAAATATGAAACCGTATTTTATGAAATAAAGAACAATTATGATCTAAAGGGTATCAAAATTTACAAAAAAAAGCTTAATATTTATTTGTTTACTTTACTTTCTTCACTATCGGAAGCGAATTATAATGACGAGGAATTTGATTTAAATCATATCAAAAACGGAGTACATCGAAATGAAATACTACATTTAATAAGGAATTATAAGCCAAATAAAATAAAAACACCTGCCCTGAAGATAAGGATAGTGATGACAGATCAACTTCCAATTCACTGCGTGCCGTGGCGTCCCCCCGCCGCAGAGCAGCGTGAAATTGATAAACAGATTTCTGAATGGTTACACAAACAAAGGATATGACTTTATCCATTTTTTGCAGTAATTCCACTTTTTGTTTAATGGACTTCGAAATATACTTTCGCTTTGTAGATCCTTTACATATTAGTAAATATATATCGGAAATTCTATTTGACATAATCGAAAGTTCAAGCTTACTTTTATAAAATTGCTCTAACAGTCTGCAAAAAACAATAAGCCAGATCCAATTCGGAGATTAAGGAACAACGCAATCTGCAACATTAACTGAATTAGATAATTTTTTGATCTATTATGTAAATACTGCACCTGTATAAAATGGCCAATTACCATTTCTGACAAGAAAAACTTTTAGAACTATAATTGAACTTGAAATCATATGAAAATCTTGACTAATCAATTTTTATTGTCTAAATCAAAATTATGGTGGTTATGAATGCAGTACTTATGCATGCTTATGAACTTTTAAATATGTTTGGTACTTACATATTATCTTGTTGACAATAAAGTTTGTGGAGATTCCATAAAAGTCACGCCAATTAGTCCTTTGGAACTTTGATGGAAATGATGACCCTTTAGTTAATATTAACTAATAAATAATCAAAAACTAAGCTGCTTTGTTTTTGCACTTCATAAAATGACTTTCTTTGATTTTTACTATTTTATTATGTTTTCTAATTTTACAAGAGAACCTGCTTAAAAATGCTATGAGTGCAAACTTTCTGCAGGTAGCTGTTCGAATTTTTTACTGTTTTGTAGGCCACATCCAGGTGACCATACTGTGTCCATTAAGAAAAACTTTTTCTTGATGGTCATAACATTGAAAATAATCTACCGCTTGTTGTTCTGTAGAAGACAGGTCCCATATTTTAATAATTTTTAATATTTTTTTTCCAAAATGCAAGAAAAAGAAAACAGTAATAACAATTAACTTATATCTTTGTTCTAGAAAAATGCTTCTCGAGAATTAATTATGGTTATAGCAAACAAAAAAGCAGATGTTACGAGAGTGCTGTTACATCACACATCACACTTATCCATAACTGACCTTAAATCATGCTGCTTGGTGACAGTTTCACTGTAGACAAAACAATGTATAAGTTCCATATATTTTTATATTTCTTTATTAATATTAAGAAAATAAAATGCATTTACATGGATTAAGCTAATTACATAACTAAGTCAAGGTTCTTGAAAACTATAATTTTCCAACTAGCGTGCATAATTTCTCTGAAAAATCAAAACATTTTGTCTAACTGTATAAAACCTAAATGAGTATAAAATAACTAACTATTGTGCTTCTTGGATAAAAATTTAAGAAATTACCTTTATTTTTATACTAAAAAATACTCAATTATGGCATCCCAAAAATATGAAAAATATCTTTTAAAGAAAATATAATTTCATCATTTTAATCATACATTATTTTTCTAATGTAGGAAAAGAAATCTAAAATAAATATAAAAAATAAATAAATAAATAAAGATTTGCTTATCCATAATGTTGTGAGCAGTACATATTACAGTTTTATGTCAATGACTAAAAAGCATTCCAATTTTATTTAAGATATTTTAATAGCCAGAACATAAAATAAAAGAGTAAATACAATGTCAAGGGAATCAAAATAAGCATACATAATTTCATGAACAGTTAGTTACAGAAATACCGAGTTTTATAATGTTTATACTTTTGCTATTTTACAGGTACCTGACCCCTTTATGTCAAATGAAGGGGGGGGGAGAATAAACAAACAAAAAAAGAAAAGAAACTAGACTTTAGCTATCAAGAAAACATGCTACTAATAACCTTTGTGGCTCCATTAAAACAATCTTTCAAGAAAACAGCAGTTTTTCGTGAGCTATAGTTTATTTTACAGATCTTAGCCAGTAAACATCATTCAGCATCAGTTCTGCTGATATTACAAATTTCATCTACCAGTCAGTAAAAGCATCCCAGAAAATCACAGGTTCTTACATCATGCGAGTTTTCCCAAAATAGGAGATCAACGACTTTCCTGTGCCTAAGCTAAAACTGTTCTGTCATCCTTAAATTGTAGTTATTTGTTTGCTTTACTTGTTTTTATGAGTATTATTTAGAATTAAATATAATTTCACATGTTTATTTTCAGTTAAATATAAAAAATACATTTAATTCATAACATAACTGTTTCAAAAGAATAAATATTAAAGTTAAATTAAATTTAAATAATTCTCTTGCGCCACTGCTGCAAGGAATGAAATTTGAATTTAACAAACATTCTCTGTTCGTAAAAAGCAAATTTAAAGTTAATTAAATTTTAAATAATGAAATTTAATTGCAAACTAATAAATGACTAATTATTGCTGCAAACTAATCTACAATATCATTCAAGTTCTGAGAGCATATGTAAATCAAGTGCAAGCATCAAAATCCATGAATAAACATATAATTCCAAAAAGAATTTAATCCTAAAAAAGTTATAAAAAATCCATAAGTGAATAATTGTTGAGCAGGCAGGAGACAAACTTATCAAGGGAAAGTTGCCTCGAAACCTAACTCTTCAATTATTCAATTCGTGTTTCGTCATCCATGTAGGAAAGGATAAAAGTCAAAACCAAAAGTAAAATCAAATGTTGTGAATTACTAAAAAGAAATTTAAACAAGTGGAATTTTGAGAAATTAATAATTAATCATTTATTTGTTTGTAATTAGATTTCATTATTTAAAATTTAATTAACTTTAAATTTGCTTTTTAAGAATAGAGAATGTTTGTTGATTCATAACATAAAATTATAGAAATGCAAAAAATTACATAAAAAAAGAAACACATTGAAAATTATAAAAAATGCAAAGTCACTATTCACTTTCTAGAGTAGTTTCTGGTAATTAATGAGCATATCATCAATTATGATGAAAATGAATATAAAACAGGATATGCTGGTTTATTCATTTTATAATTTTGTATTATACTTTAGCAAATCTTTATCACATCACCAAATGAAACATACAGCATGTCATATTCTATAGTCAAAACAGTATTGTTTATCTTCCCTCAAATACTGTCAATCTTAAAAATCTGTTGATTGCCATGAGTTTTCCAAAAGTACATAAGAAATAAAAACCAGCCTGTAATTAGTAGGTTTATTGATTGGTTTTCTGACTAAATAAATAATTTGAATTTAGAGCATAGATGTAATAAATAAATTTTTGCATATGAACTGAATGACGACTTACAGCATTATTTTTTTCCCATCTGTAAAAATCGCCAAATTGCATCAAAAGGGTTAACACAAGGCTTCTTAAACCTCTTTCAATCATGGCCCGCCTTTTTATCATCGAGATTTTTTCGCGACCCCCAGGACCCCATAATATTTATAAAAATTTTGTGGGACCCTATAAGCATTGCACAAATCCGACACAGCATGAGTGAAACTGTCAATTTTTTCACTTGTACTGTAATATACTATTGCAGTTTTAGGTCATCAACTTTAATTTCTAATTTTAAGACATAGAACAAAGTGAAAATTTTAAATAAGTAACAGATGAAATGACAGCCTCACGTGCAAAGCAAGGAAAATGAATGTTTATATTACAAAAAGAATACGTTGAAACGTTCCCCCCCCCCTTGTCTGTATTGTCTTATCTTCATCTATTTTCAGATACATTGCGTAAAAATATTTGGTAATTGTAAAATTATTATAATAAGTTAGAAAAATATCAAAACTACTAAAATTTATGTGACCCCCTGCTGCAGGTCCCGCAACCCACAGTTTAAGAAATCCTGCGTTAATACACAAGTATCAAATCAAATTTTGGCAATGAATAATTATGCAAATTAGAATGCAATTCTTCAACTTGTGTGTGTATTTACAATCTATTAATAACAGATTTAAATGCATTTCACTAATGGGGAAAAAAAAAAAAAGAAAGAAAGAAAGAAAACACATGTTAATTAATATTACACAAAACCCAAAACTATTCAGTAATTTTTACCTTTAGAGTACTTTGCAGTCAAATAAATGCCCAGGACATTCATCTGAGATACACAGTCATCATTTCTGGTTGTGCCATCTAATGATGCTCTGGTTTCTTTCAAAATATTCAGAACTGTTTCAGACAATACAGAACTTTTAAGCCATTCTTCAAAGTAATCATTCTCAGCACTTGTCTCTAAACCCTTCTTTAAAATATTTTCTAACAGCACTATATTTTTTGCCTTAGAAAGTATAAAAGAAAATCTTATTTGATTAAAAATGTACTCATTTATATATAATCAAACAAAAAATAACAATTTAAAAAGGAAATGTTTTAAAATGAAATCATCAAATTTTAATTAAATATTGTAACTATATAATTCTGCTACATATATTTAAAATATCAATAGCCAAGAAAAGGTTTTCAGAAAATTCCTACGTAGAAAACAGATTTATTATTCAAAATATTTCACTGGTAATATTTCTGAACACAATTTATAGCTAATTTGAGAAAGAATGCAGTAAACCTGTCAAATTTGAATATTGTATATAATTCAACTATACAGATGCTCCTCACCTTACAACAATTTGCATTCTGAAGGTTCATTTGTACCATGAATTTGTTTGCAAGATGATACTACATTCTCTGTGCATATCTCTTAACAATGCCAATGCAATAGAAGCTATAAATGCTGTTAAATAACAATTAAAAATACTAAAATAAATAACGCATTTAAAATTTTAAGTACAAGACATTATAAATAAATAATTACTTTACTCTACAGAATGTACCTTTAACTGTTATCTTTAAGGCACATGTGAATGGATGAAGATGAGGAAAGTAGATATTTACATAGACGGGGATGAGTCAAACTCTAACAACTGATCCTCTGAAGACTTATCGACAAGTAAGGGGAACAATTGTGATGATCAGGCTGTTTGAGATGTGAAAGAAGTTGGCATGTTAGATGTGACAGCAACACTGATTTCTGAAGTGTTTTTCTTAAGAAAATAAATGTCTGATCTTGTCTGAATAGGTTTTTGTTTCCTTTCATCATAAATAAAATGTATCGCTGCTTGGTATCGTGCACAGCAGACTTTACTTCAGCAAACCTCTCAAAATTTCAAAAATGTCTTCTTCAAACTTGAAAACTTTGTCTCAAACTTTGAGCACGGATTTGTGAAACAAAATTTTGCATACACGCATTATCTTTGTTTTTTCCATTTAATCTGTCCAATGTTAGAATTTCATTCATGTGGGGTTCAACATTCATTCATCAACACTGAATGCTTGCTGGCATCAATTCTGATCAAAAGTAATCAATTTGAAAAGATTTCCTTTGATTAAAAACAATGCCAAAGAAATAGTGGTGAAGGATTTTCACGTATGGAAAAAGGAAAAGTTAACAACTTAATCAAAAAATGACAAATGAAGAACTGAATGATCTTATAAGGCCATCTGACAGTTGAGGCAGTGATAACGAAGAATATAAAAGTGCTTTTAACTTGTAAGATATTAAACATTTATATTGTTAAAAATGGCACAGAAACTGTCTGATTTTTGTAATGGAGATTGACTCAAAAGAAGAAAGAAGAGAATACTTTACAAGAAACATTGAAAAACATGGTGCTTCTTACCAGAAAACTTTTAATAAGTTGTGTTAGTCCTTGTCCCAAGCAAAAATCGCCAGTATTTTTTTTTAAAATAATTGTATCACATACTTATTCAACAGCAGCAAAATTTTTTTTTCAATAAGCAATTGTTTCATTTTTTCCTTTTAACTATAATATTCAGGTTTGTGTAAATTATACATATTTTTTTTATCTGAATTGCACACTTTTTACATAGAAAGTTAACTTTGCAGAACTAGATGCTGCCCACACATTGTAATGACATAATCCCTAAGTTTGGCAAGTCCTTCCAAATGTGCTGTAAAGTGATATCAGGTTTATCATCGATAACTAGGAGTATATACAGTAAGTACTCTTTTTTGGGTGGGCAATCACATGTTGGATCTTTTTTGTTAATTTTATTTTTGATTCTGAAGAAATTTCGTAAGGTTGGAAGCACCTGTATGTATTTTAAAAGCTTTATACTGATCAGATAAAATAATAGTTTTACTTTACGAGATAGTATGAATTTACCCATAAATTTCTCGATAAACAGTGTTCTATTTAACACTTTTTTGACTGCTTCAGTGAACTATTTATGAATATATTAAATGGAGAGTAGAGATACTAATGCCCATTCTATGCCTAGATTTATCAAAAAAAAAAAAAAAAAAAGACTATGCATTCCATTAACTACAGAAAATGACTTTTTTTGGGGGGGGGGGGTTCCATTCAGAATTTATCATGCATTACAAAGTTAATAAAAGACTTCTTTTTCCAGAGATTTACACTTATTTCTAAATATGTAAATTTCCATAAAACAAAATATACATCATTGCTTACAACTATTAGATATATTTTTGGTTTAATATATTATTTGAAAACAAAAATTATTCCAACAAATACCAGAGAATTAGCTTAAGACTACCATTCCCAGCTAGAGATATTTCTGAAGCATAATACTGAAGATTTTTCTTAATGCTATACAACTTCCACAAAGCATCACTGCTCCACATCATAGGCACTCAAGATTTAAATAATATACCAAAACTCCTATCCAACTAACTACGTTTCTCCATATAAGCATTAACCTGTTATTAATTTCAAAATACAACTAACCTATGCATGTACCATAAAAGAATGACTTGCTGAACTCTTCAAATCTCCTTATTTGAAACACAGTGTTATAATAGTTTAAGTCAAAGTATTTTTCAGTATTAATAATAAATAATAAACAAATTAAAATAACTTATTTTAGTAAAAATTATGTATGATCAAAAACAGGTACATAATTTTTAAAGTACATTAACAATTTGTTATGTGTGTTACTCAAATTTATATCTTGATTACCGGCTTCCATTAGCCTAGTTTGCAACTTGATGAAAAAAACTTTACATATAATGATTACCGTAATTTCCGGAAGAAAAGCCGCGGCGTTTACGTGTTTAAAACTTAAATTTTCAGCGGGTGCGGCGTTTAGGAGCACTAAAAATAAAATATTTCCTATGATGGTCATTGTACATAGTTTGGATGGCCTTGTCATTGTGCATAGACTGGTGCTGTTTCCACACAAAACACCACTCAGTTGCTTTTTGCGAATGTTATTTTGTTTACATTCTTTCCCTTGAATGGACCAACATGCCTTATTCACCCTAAACGAGATCTCAGAACAATAACATTCTTTCCCCTTTCAAATCAACATTCTCATCAGTTTGAATAGTCTCTCTCCTCTGCCATTCGATGAATCTTCCAGGACCCATCCTCTCCCCACCCCTGCCTTTTCTGCAATTTTTTTCAAAGGCGACTCCACCTGCCTCGAAATAGTGAACTCTGATGTATTTCCCCTTCAGCATGAATGGATTTTTCTTGGTATTCTGCCAAATACAGATCCCATCAGTTTGGGTACAAGTACTTGTTGAATAGTTTTTAATTAGGGAGCGAAAATTTTGAAAATGTCTCTACCACGGACAGAAGCTATACATTTCTACCTTAATTTATTTTGAGTTATGGTTTCATTTTATGCATTTTTCTTAACTGGTATGTCATATAGCAGACTTAGGTTTGAGTTTTTGCATCTATACGGCCCACGACGATGTAACGCGCAATTTAATCTATTGCGCGTTACGCTGATGCGGCGTTTCTGTGTAATTTTAATTTTTTTCCCGCCATTTTTCTCGAGTGCGGCGTTTACGCTGATGCGGCCTTTCTTCCGGAAATTACGGTACATAAGAGCAATAAAAATGCACTCTGCATAAGAATAAAAGAACTGCATAGGAATAAAAGAACAATGTCTTGTTGCAACATTATTGACAGCTGAGACGACATCTGTAGTGCTGAAAAACACTTTCAAAATTTAGTGACATGAACAAATCACTTTCAGTCATCAAGGAAGCCTGTGTCTATCCATAATGCAATCAATTATGCTAATGGTATAATAAATTTTAATAAGAGATAAATTTAAGAAACAGATAAAATATTATTTAGTACTTAAGAAAATAATAAATTTTTATTAGAGAAAATATTTAAAATGAAAAGTTAATTTAAATTTTTAAAAATACGATTTAAATAAAAAAAATAGTTTAAATATAACCTGGCTGTTTGATTTTTTAATCAAATAAAAAAATAAATTTTAAAAAATCATGATTTTAATTAATTCTGGTTTCAAAACAACACATTATGAGGCTTAACCAAAAATCTTCACAGGTAGCAGACTTGAGAAAGATCATTTACTTAGCAACAATATTACTACAACATAGACGTATAACCATGAAAAAATTTAAATAAAAGCTATACACATATACACATCTCTGCGTTTACACAGCTGAGATAACAGCAATTTATGAAGTCATTCAAGAGCTTCTACAAATAAGCCCTAAAAGTTAAATTTGTATATTCTTCCATTATAAAGTTAATGCAAAAAGTAATTAACCTGATTCCTTTTTCTACAGATTAAGCAAAGGACAAACTTAACTATCCTTATGCAATTAAATTTGAACAATCCTTTTCTGAAATGGAAATAATGGTGTGTATTTAATTATGGCAAAGCACACTAGGGATATCTGCCTAAGGGGAGGGATGCCTTCGTGGAGGACTTTCTAAGGGAAACTGGCTTGTATACACATTACACATGGGGAAAACCACGAAAACGCCCATGCAGCCAGCCCGTTCGCGGGATTCGAACCTCGGACCGAACTACCAGTGTTCAGCGACTTTACTGCTCGGCCGCTGGCGGGCCGAAATGGAAATAATGACATAGCATTATCTGAAGTTAAGGCAAGCACTTTGCAAAATGTATATCTTCCAATCAGGATTCAGTTTTAATATTTATCTAATCAAAATAATTTTTTGTGGTGCTGAAATACCACTAGGAGAATCTCTGAGAAGGAGAGCTTTTAACCATTTATGTAAGCAGCTGAACTAAAAGCCATTACTTTTTGTTATCAAAATTAAGTCTCCAATAATGAGCCTTTGTAATGACAATTTAAGCTTTAGTTGAACATCTGATTTTAAATACATTTACATCTGAATAAAGCCAGAAGTATGAAAAATTGCCATGAACATTACAAAATAAGACAGTAATAACAGTGTACATGTGATACACACAGAGAAATAATGATCAATAGATGTAGTTCCCTGCATATGTTTAACAAAGCAACTACGTCTGTCTAGAGATATAGAGATGAAGTCTTATAACTCTACATAAGGCTTTATAGCAGTGCATGTGAATCTTACTTTTCTCATATAGACATACATCCACACTAAATAATCTGTTCGAAATTAACTGAAATTGAAGACACCAGGTGAATAAACCAGCCAGCCAAATCTGGCTGGTTTAATTACAGAATCACAGAGCTTAGAACTTAGAGATTCAGAACTTAGAGCACATTCTTCGAATAATTGTTACTCTGTAAAACTCTTCTTTTAGAGATCTGCGACTTAGAACATATTGAGAAGAGAAATGGAACTTACTCTTCTGAACTCAAATTCACCTGAATGAATAAGAAATTACATTGTGATATGTGGCCATTAGTTAAGAGAAAAGAATGATATAAAAATCATTTTAATATTTATTTCCTAACAATATAAAATGTTAGCATTTATTTATGAGACAGCCATGTGAATTATTTCAAATTTACTTACTTCATAATAGACTTACACTGCCTTCACAGTGAACATTTTTTTTTGGTCTGCATTTTACTTGAATAGATTCTCAAATATCAATTTTTGCTTTCAACAGATATTTTATCAGTTGCAGTTTCTTCTTGAATAACACTGCAAATCTCCTCGCAGGCTCCCCCCAAAAAAAAATTCTGATATAAACTTTTATATGATTCTTTCACATGTTGGCATTACTTCACACATCAGCATTCTATGTAATGAAAAATAGAATTTCACGGTATCAGAAATGAAGTACATGCCAAATGCCACAAGAAGTACCATTGCCCTCTCAGAACCTTTCTATACTGAGAGCCAAATTTGGTGGGCAAATCAATTTTGGGAGAACTTTCAAAATATATCAAGAAATATTTTTGCTGGACTTTTAAAAGACCTGAAACACCATTTTCATAAATGATGTCAAGTTCTATCTACGATGTACCAAATATGAAACATCAGCTTCTCCACATTATTATTCTACAAGCTATTACTCAGCACAGATGCAGCAGTCCAAAATTTAACTATAAAATGCAGTTTTTATATTTTATACATTGATATTGTGACCCATAACTACCAGCACAATAGTCGCACAAGTAAACTATTTTCCTTTTTTAATATCTTTTTCCTCCGATTTATTCTCACTTGCTTATTATGTTTCAGTCCCAGCCAAAATGAAAATTTGATTTTTAATATTTAATAAATATTTTATTTAATTAATATTTTGAGAAAAATGTATGCACTATACATAAAACATATTATATTACAAAAAAGTACAAGGCAACAAATAAAGATTTACCTTACAACAACTATTCAGTATCGCCACAGCTTCTTCTTCAGTAACACAACAAATGCAAAAGATAATATCTACAATAGAGCTTATACAAGCATAATCACCTTCACTAGCAGATGCCCATTTCAGAATCACTTCTTGGCAAAAAATGACAGACAGTTTTTCATCATCATTTGGAACAATGTGTGTATTTAAAAATTCATTAAAAAGTTCTTTGTTTATAGTTGAAGCTACTAATTCTCCAAAAATCCTCAAGTAACAAATATTGCATTCTGCATTAATTTTTGAATACAGAATTTCATATAATCTTAAAATGGACTGAAAAGTTTGGTTTTCTCTTGTGAATGATGTTCCCATAGTAACAGCTGTTTGGTTACTAGAAGCAATGCTTTCATTTTGATCAGTTTTCTCTTCATCCTCAAATCTAACTTTTGGTTTCTTATTTCTTATAACTGTAGATGATGAAAACATACTATTAAAGAAATAAGCTACATATGTTGACACTCTACATTTTTCTTTCAGTTTTTCTTCAAAAATTTTACACAAAATGTCAATGATATTGTCCCAAAAAACTTGCAAACATTTAGCATAGTTCTCTGAATTTCCTTCATTTTCACTAAGAATTTTCTGTTCAGTTTTTTTAATTAAATCACCTAATAATGGATACAATTTGGATGCAGCAATGTGAGTACTTTCACAATCATAAAATGAAGAGTCCACAGTAGGAATAATCTAAAACAAGTAAAGAAATTCATTAGATAAACATATTTCCCCTTAATTAACAGAATTATTTTTGAAACAAAAATCTTTAAAATACCATTTTTTATTCAAAATAACACTATGTTATAGATGAAGCATCAAACATAATATACTTTAAAATTGAATTTTTTATAGTTTGGAAAATTATCTCTTATCATTTATTTGGCTTTGCACTTATAATATAACTGATTTGTTATTCACATAAACCCAGAACCAGCTCCAAGGCTCATATGGCTGCACCAAGCCACAGAGACTGCATCAGGCGGTAAGATATCTAGCACCGGCCCTCAGTAAAACTTAAGTATATGTAGGAATTTATTTATTCAGAACTCTGATAAGCCTTAAGCATGTGCAAGAAATAGACATAATACTAATAAATAGCTAAACTAATACAATTAACGTTTAATTGTATCAGTGCGCGATAGAAGCAAGATAAAATTTAATGGAAGAACTTGTCGTTAGTCGCCAAGCTCATGATGCATTGCCAAATATGTATAGTGGACGATAGCTAAATTTGATGGTGATAGCCGCGAATTTAAAGGGTTTTTTTTGTATATCGTAAGACAAAGGTGAAATTTTCCAATTAATGGATTTTGTAAAGAAATGTGGAGAAGCGGTAATAAATGAAGATGATATAAAAGAAGTTTTTCATTGTGATGACAATGCTTCTCAATCATCAATAAATTATTAATGAATGGCGAAATCTGTAGTATGGTTCTAGATCCAGAAAATATTGCTACCGATAGTGAAGAAAGTGACAGCCCAGTTACTGAAGACGAGAAAATTTCGATTAACAAGTTAGTCAGAATTCTCGACATAGCAGTTACAGGACTTCAACATGTAACTAGAATGTAACAAGAGTTATGTCTTCTACAGAATTAAAAGAGAATAATTTTCAAAAAAAACGAAGCACTTACGTGAAAGAATGTTTAATAGGGTAAACAAATACATACTTTTTTTTTTTTTTTTTTTTTTTTTTTTTTTTGTTGTTAAATTTTGATACCTTTTACATAAAAAATACTTCATTATTTCATAAATCACGATTTCATATTTTTAATTTTCTAATTTCTACATGCAATCTTATTAAATTTAAACTGATGATCTAATATGTGGAAAAATCCCAAATCTGGAATCGCAGAAGTCCTGACAAGTCCGGATTTCTGACTTTGTACTGTAATAGAGACTTTATTTGTATTTACATGGTAAAGAAAAGCTGAATAAAGAAGAAATAATTTTTCTTTAAGTAAATCTGAAATTTTAATTCCGCACTTCTTTATAGCCTCTAATAATATTTTTGATCAACTACTCAAGAGCAAAATATAAGGCAAAATTCGTATAAGGACTCATGTTAGGGAAAATTTTACTGCTAAAATTTTTGTAAAAAGAGTATTTACTTGCTTAAAAATATAAAACTTACTTTGAAAGTAATTTTGCTGGTGGATATAAAAATTCCTGGTATAATTCCATTATCGAGACCGCATGAAACCGCAGCCAAAATATATGCAGATATCTAGCAAATATGCCCATTTAACTGCAATTATTTAATATGATTACTATATAATATAATTTCATCTGAAATAAAATAATATTCTTAGATAGTTATCTGTTATTATGCTTCCTTCCTTACTATAATTATTTTTGGTATCATTGGTATCACCACTAGTTTGGAAATTTTTTGCAGTTCCTGATAATGGAATTATACCAAACTTTCATACAGGGTGATTCATAAAGAAGTATACAGTTTCAATGCACTATAAATCAAGAAAAATGTAAGATATTATATGTTACCTGCAACAGAATTGTATTGGATTATTTTAATTTTTGTTAGAGACAGTTACAGATGTTCTTAGTTACACAGAATACATTGAGCCAGTAATGCAATGCCATCCATACACATATTAAGGTATCTGAATCACGTCCATCGATAGGAGCTGTTATACGCTGCTTCAGCTTCACTAGATCGACAGGAATGCGATGGACGAATACCTTGTCCTTTAGGTACTCTCACAGGAAGGAATCACAAGGTGTTAAGACAAGACTTCTGGCTGGCCATTGGATAAGTGGCATGTTGCAGTCCGCTGCTTATCCAATCTCTCGGTGAGGAAGATGTTCATCGAGGTAAAGCAGTACCTCCTACATACAAAGCCACTGCACAGCTGACACTACGTCTCTAAAGTCGTCCTTATCTACAGACAGAATGGTTGCCACATGAAGCCACTTATCGCTGTTATTCCCTTAAGAGGAGAGAAAATGAAACGTAGTCCCCCCCCTTGCAGAAGGCTTATATCATTTGGTTTTAAATAAATAAATATGTATATCCGATTTGCCCTTCATCGACTGCATTTCCTAATTTCAAATACGTATCTTAACTTTTCTTAAATAATTTTACACTTAAAATAATATAACAGAAATTGATTTAACATACTTCAGATGGTGGTAATAAAATACAATGTTTAAGTTCTGGCTGTTGCTGGTTTGTTTTTTGAATATATATTTCACTAAATATCCTCTACTAAATATTGTTAAACTAATATTGTACTAAATATTGTTATCCCCTTGCTAAATATTGATGCCTTAATAAAAAGGCAACAATAATGCATAATGACAAATTAATAGTTGATTAAAACTAAAAATACCTAATCCTTAATTTATTATTAATGTTTTATTTTTGTAATATCATTTTTTAACTACATTTGCTATTTACACATATTTGTTTAGTAATTTTCCACTTTTGATCTTGTTCACTTCACTGTAGAATTGAATTTTGTAACATATAATAAACCTGGAGTATGATTTGAATACTATTTTTGAACAATATGAAAAATACTATTTTTGAGCATATATTGGTATTTATTCAGTGTTAATTTTCAATATAGGCACAAAAAATTCCACTGTGTGGATATTTAGATTTATTCACAATCTGAAAAATAAAACTGACAAAAAAACAGGATCCTTGATTGCAGAACTTTTTGCTGCAGAATTATATTTGATACAAGAAGCTTAAAATGAACATTTTCCTGATGTTCCTGATGAAATTAATAATTTAAAGTCTGGACAGTTGATATCGAAAAAAGCTTAAAAATTTATGACCTGAATTCTAAGTGAGGAAGGAGTTTTGATTCTAGGAAGAAGATTACAAAAATCCTGTTTATGTTTTCACGAGCAGCATCCTACAATTATTCCTTAAAAACTCATTTTACAGATCTTCTGGTACATGATGCCCATGAACGAGTTCTTCATTCAGCTCCAGATAATACTCTCACCTTCCTCTGTGAAAAATACTGAATAATTAGATCTAGACAAAATGTAAAAACAGGTTATAAGAAACTGTGTACTGTGACAGCATTATAACTCCCAACCGATGCAACAAGTCATAGCCCCATTACTTTCATCTAGGATTGAAAATGCAAATCCTTTTGATGTTATAGGACTGGATTATGCAGGTCCACTTTTCATTAAAAATAAAGTTACCAAGTATTATATCCTATTACTGACCTGTGCAATAACACCTGCAGACTGTATGGAATCATTTTCAGCTTCTTTCTCAAAATTCTCCAGACAGCAGGCTAAGATATCTACACTTCACAACACAACTTTTGCTTTGATTTTCTCGAGCTTCGCTGAATGGCAGTGGTGTGGTGTATTTAATTACGGCAAAGCACACTAGGGCTATCTGCTTAAGGGGAGGGATGCCTTCGTGGAGGACTTTCCAATCCTTCGGTGAGGAAGATGTTCATCGAGGTAAACTCACACGTAGATGGACCAGTGTGGTGATGCACCATCCTCTGAAGAAGGAAGTTGTCAATATTGCTCTGCAACTTGACATCAGCCAAAGAGTTAACATATACAGAAGTGTGGCTCCCATGGCAGTTTCTTCATGAAAATAAACACACACTCGTATACACATTACACATGGGGAAAACCACAAAAACACCCATGCAGCCAGGCTGTTCGTGGGATTCGAACCTCGGACTGAACTACAGGTGTTCAGCGACTTTACGGCTCGGCCGCTAATGGGCCTCGCTGAATGGCGGTGCAAACTCTATCGGTGACTTCTTTTGATACAGTCAGTCATCCATTACTTTAGCACAAGTAGCCCGTAGTTTTAAATGTTTCATGTCACTGATAAGATTTTCTAGTTGGAGGTTCTTTTCCGAATCATGATCAAAAATGCCAGTGCACAGCAGTTGCGGATTCAAACACAAAAGGCCTTCTCCCATTGCAGACCCCGCCATTTCGACTGACTGATCACATGACATCCATGTGTCTATGTCACTTCTGTGAGAGGTAAGACACAAATTTTAAGAGTACATCTAGGTGTGTGGTGATTGTCTTTGATTGTTACTGTTTTACAGCGTCTGGAAAGTGTATACTTCTTTCTGAATCATCTTGTATAATATAATATGATGAGTTCTTTACTTCAAAAAACTTCTCCAGCATGTATCCCTTTTTCTGCTGTACTGACATTGTTTTCTTTACATATAACTCTTTCTAAAAATATAACAGTTTAATATTTCTTGAATAATTCTAGAGGCATGAGTATGTTTTGATTAGTTGTTTAGATGCAAATAATCTAAATTTACAGTAAAATTTGGAAAAGTACAGTTAGAGTAAAAGGGGAAAATATAAACAAAATTCGGAAAACATTCTAAAGAACCCTGGTCCTTTCATGAGCAGGTTACTGAAATTTTCTGTACTTACTTGGTTGATAATGACTTTTTCTAAAAATTCTGGTGCAAACTTTTTATTATCAAAATGAACAAAACATATGTATGTAAGGCACTCCATGAATGCAGTTAAAATTGCATCACACTCCATTGGTGAACTTCTTACTCCTTCAAGTTTAAGGCTATAATAAATGCAGTAAACACATGAGTATAGTAATACAAATCGGAAAAAAAGTTACATTATTACACTATTTATTGCATATATTTTTTACATGTACCTTATTTAATCTTATTTTTCTCTCCTTCGCATACCTTCCCTTAGTTAAAGTTTGTTTCAGACAATTTTGATTTATTTACATAATTTTCAGTTTATTTCCTGATTTCAGGAACTGGACTCCTCCAAAAGAATAAACAGTTTCTGTAACCTTATTTCAGATCTTTAAAATTCTAGCCATGGTCATTTATCTTCTCCCATACGCATAAAAAGGGAGGTACGAAATGGACAGAAATCAACGGGGCACCCCTTTCCCCCCTCCCAAAGAGTAAATTCCAGCAGCAGATAATAAAGATAGGAGAATATGTCTTTTTACACCACCAAAAAGAATACATCTCCACTGGAAACTGAAAATTAACAGCAACAACCAAATGTCACCCTGTTATCTTCCTGTGGCATCTAATTATAATAGGATTATAAATGCTGATATTTTACGATTTTCTCCTTTTTAGATATTTTTAGACTTTATCCTCACAGGCCTTTATTTGGGAAAACAAATCTCCAGATATGCAATTTAATATGAAATTCATTGCCTTCATCAACAGTCCAAAAGGACAGATGACTATGAAGATGAAAATGACTGAAGAAAAAAAGTAATTTGAAAACTACAGTCTAAAACCTCAAAGAAGAATTTACCATTAAACATTTTTAAATTAAAAATTAACAAAAATTAAAAATACAGGAAATTATGCAAATATTTCTTTTTGTATAAAAAAAAAAAAAAAAAAAAAAATTTGCTGTTTCTAATTTATAAAATCAAAACTTTACTACTGAATAAACTTCAGCTAAAAAGAATATGTATAAAATAGTATAAACAGAAACAAATCACAACAAAAATTATTGAAGTACTAAATATTAAACTTGAAATCTATATGTTGCTACAGAATTCACTATAATCACTGGATTCCTTTTGGATGCAGAGGATGATGGCTTCAATTTAGAACTTTTGATAACCTTTCATAAGTTGTTAGAAATCTGCTTTATTAATGGCATTTATGATATAAAATATAAAATAAACTACAATTTTAAAATTTTGTTAAGAACTCATTGTAAAAAACTTAAAAACTTAAAGTTATATTGTACCTATTGCTGACACACAACAACTTTAAATATCCCTGACATAAGTTTATTGAAACTGAAAACATTTTTTGGCAAGTACAAATAAAAGTTAAGAAATCTGCATCTTGCAATATTTTAATACGATTTTTATCACACTAGAAATTAATGGTACTTACGTATTAACGTAACCAGGCCAAAATTCGCATAAATTGCCAAATTTGGCTACCCTACTTACGGCAACCCTACATGTGTTATACGTAGTTTTGTAAAAAGAGCATGTGGAGATCACAAAATTTCCTGCATTTTCGTGCAAATTTTGTAATTTATGAGAAATAGCAGTGTACATGGATAAAGTCAAGAGTGTGCGCAATGCCATTTTGTGCAATTCTGGGATGTTTTTTTTTAAGTAAAAATAAGTCGACGTGTACACATGGTTATGCGAATACGGTTTTCAATCATGTTAAAGCAATAGCCAAAAGATTTCCGCCGAAAAATAATTCTGCTTATTCAAATTCGAAAAACGGAAGGGTTAATTGCTATTTTTATTTTAAAAAACAAAATAATAAAAAACTGTATTAAAAATTATCTGTAATTAATTAAAGTACATTTTCTTTCTATTCATACTTTTTACTCAAACTTGGAAAAATAGCTTATTTTTAAACCTTTTACTGCATATCTCTCCTCCTGAAATGTTTTTAGTTTAGTCCTTATTTTAATGGAATACAGTAGTTACTTCTACTTCTTTTCTTGCTGCCACTGTTGCATTGAGAACGGACTGTTTCAACCTAATTGAGATGCAAAAACGAAACATGATGTTACGTTATCTGAAAAGCCGATTCGTGCCGAAAGCGATTGGTTGCCGTGAGAGACGTCATTCCTACTTCTGCTATAAGTATCTCGCGTCGCTCTGGCTCACCCTTCTAGTTCCTGCTTTCCGGCATTTGAGTGAGCGGTTTCCAGCCCCTCAGAAGATGATGCAGTCCGGTGATTAAAGTGCATTGGTTCTGGTTTGCGAGATGATGGTTTCCAGAATAAAGTTCTTCGGCTACCATGTGAGTGACTGCCGTGGGCGGCATCCATTTTCTTTTCATGAAGCGGAATTAAAAATACGTGAGCGGCGACGATTCCTTGTCAAACGGAGTTAGGCCGGTTTTTTAAAGTGTTTTCAAGAACTTCATTTGAATTTTCAGGTGTTTTTCTTGACCATGATTATGGACTTTGAATGGGTACCCAGCTTTATTTTTAGGCCGCATAATTACTGTTTAGGACATTTTTGTTTGTATAGAATGCCAGTGTTTGGAGACCAGGTAAAAATATTATTGATGAATGATGATTATATTATATTTTTCCTAAGACTCTGATATATTGACATTTATTTTTGTGTGTTTTTTATCTTTATTATTGTTAATAAATTGGTTAAGTTCAAAATCTTTATTGTCTCAATGTCTGCACAGCATATCTCAGGGAGCTTTCATTGCTACTACTGCTAAATGTTTAATTTCTTTAAACTTTAAACTTTGCTTTAGCATCATAAACTTACAAGTAGCGCCAACCTGGTTGCGACAATACGTAAGTACCAAATTAATTAACTACATTTACAGATTTTCCAACATTATATTATTGTTTTTAATGGAAATGAAAATATCAAATTTCAAATAACTAAAATCTTAAAATCTTCGTAACATAGTATTTGCAAAAATTACATAATTGAAATGCCTTTGCAGGTCGCTTTAAATTTGACTACCTTTATATAATACACAAAAAAATTAACATAAATTTGTATTACTATAATTGTATTAGTATTTAATGCCAGTTTGTTAACAATTTTTTTAACAACATAATTAAACAGAGCTTATTATATTTAATACTATTATGCAATTTGTTTAAATATAAACAATTTATTTAAAGTAACTATACATATAAACATACCAGAAAATTCTATTTATTTTTTTCTTGGTACTTTCATATTATCCCGATGAACCTTAGAAGAAATTTCGGCAATGACTGGCAACCATTACTGTGGAATTCTACAGGAAGTGGTCACCATAATTGATGCTAAATCGCGCTACTTGGGTGGTTGATGGGATAATATATAAATACCATTTTATTTAATATAATTTTAGCAATTAAAATATACATATATGTAATATATAAACATACCGGAAAATAAATTTTTTATATTCTTTCTAGTGGACACAATTCAGTAATTGCTGTTAATATTTCAAAAATATTAATTATAGCTTCTTTTCCCCACTGTTGAAACATTGAAAATAATAAACATAATGAGCATTTTATAGTGAGAAACAGTTATATTGACACAATGCAATTATGAAAAACCAGTTAAATCATTAACCATTTGTTTCTTACACATCGTTAACTATTTGTTTTTCACACATGCGCAAATCAGTAACTGGTTGTTTCTCAACAATGCAGAAATGTGAAAGCTCCACTTTCTTGCCAAGGCTGCTACAGAAGACAAGTAACCATTTAGCAGTAAACTTACATTTTTCAAAAGAAACTGTAGTTGAATATATAATTAAATTCATTAATTTTTATGTATGCAAATGTTTCTCTTTCTACATAGGTTGTTGTATTAAACTTTTTTAAACAAAATTTTTTAATAACTTGGTTTTAGTATTAATTTCAGAAATATCAAACTGAAAGAGGCACACTATTATTAAAAATACAATGTAAATATATTACATTTTCATCAAAACTATGCATATGCACAAATATTTCACCATACTTCCATCATTTTAACATTTTCTGTGTCACAATTATTTTAAAGCCAGGGATCGAAGTATGTGCCGCAGCGCCTCTGGCTTTGCATCACAGGGTGACAGGACTTGCATTGGACACTCAGCCATATTTTTCATTTATTATATCTTTATTAATATGTTTCATTAATTTTTATTCTATTTCTTAAAAAAATAGTTTCTTAAGTTTTTTTTTCAATACTTATATTTCAGCTGTTCATTCAATTCCACTTAAATTATACTTTCAACATTTTTGTTTCTCCCTTAAATCTAAAGTAATTCTTGTTCTCAATTTCATTTCTGAAAGCACCATTTCATTCTATCACTTAGTTCTTTCAGTTTGCAAATAATTTTATGATGTTGGGTCAAATTTGTCAGAGAGGGCTACTGACAATAACAAAGGTGGAAATCTTTTAAGTTATGTACCCTTCCAGGATGGTAATATTATTGTTGAAGATCTGTTCTGTAAGAACATCATTAGAAGCACATAGGCTTGACTTCTTCGAAATGCTTGACAAGTTTATAATGGAAAATGATTTAGTTCGGAAATAGTGCATCAGTGTACATACTGATGACATTCGATCAATGCTCAGTCACTATTGCAGATGCTTATTTGCAGTAAAACATCACATGCTATCTGAAATACAGGAAAGCATTTGCATTGAAAATGCTTAGTCTTCATTTGAATTTGGTATTTGAATGTATCACAGACATAGTAAACTACATGAAAACCAGACTGCTAAATGCAAGATTTAAAAAAAAAAAAAAAAAAAAAAAAACCAGCTATCTAAGGACATGGAAATTGAACACACAACCTTGCTCTACTATTGCAATTTATGATGGCTATCGTGCAGCAACATCCTGTCTCAGGCATTTGAGATGCATCAAGAAATTCACACTTTTCTGCATGAGGAAGGTCATACGATCACAATGTATTTTGCTGAACCAGACATTTGCTCAAACTAGCATATTAGTGTGACATATTTCAGAAACTAAATGTCTTGAATATGTCTCTACAAGGAAACATATGCACATCTCGAAATTGTAGAACAGATTTAAGCATTTAGGAAAAAACTGCAGTTGAGGATAAGAAAACTGAAGGACAGTGGTGTTCAAAATTGTTTTTTTACAGTGTACCAATTGACAACTTCTAATAAAGTCATTGTTCTAGAGAAATTAATGTCCCTTTTCAAGGAACATCTCTCAAAACTCAATGATGGGTTCCCAAAATACTTTGCACAAGATAATGTAGAGAAAATTATGTTGATCCAAGGTTCTTTTTATTCTCAAGTAGCCTGGCACTTTACTTCATAAGACAAAGAGAGTTTAACTGAACACTTTTGCAATAACATTCTGAAAATTAAATTTGATTGTTCATATTTATTGGAATTTTGGATTTTAATCAAAACTGAGTATCCAAATTTAAAGTTCTAATGCTCTAAAGATCCTCATTCCCTTTGTGACATCCTTTCTATGCAAAGATAAATTTTAAGCTACTGCTGGAATAAGGACCAAATATTGCTTAAAAACCAGTATGGAGCAAAAAAAAAAAAAAATAAAAAAAAAATAAGAACAGCTGTATTAAGACTTCTTCTGCAATTTGAAAAACTGCACAGGGATCAACAAGCTCACCTGTCACATTGACTTTCTAATTTGCCACCAAGGTTTCTTTTAATCATACTTAATTTGTATGCTTTATTATAAATTAAAATTATACCTCTTCATTAAAATGTTGCTTTCATTTCTGTGGATTAACATTGTAATAGAAATACTGCAACTGGGGTACCATGAAAAAATAACAAAACTGAAAGTGTGCCACTTACTGAAAAAGTTTGGGTAAAGCAGCTTTCTAACACAAATATTTCAATAGAATATTAATTACAGAATTTCAGGAGAAAAAAAATTAAAATTGAATATTTTTTCCTGTATTACATAATTTAAAAAATTTTAAAGACTGCAAAAAGTAAAATCAGAAGACTGACCTTTGGTTTAAGCATGAGAAAAACTGAAGTAAAAAGCTTTCTTCTTCAACGACTTGTTTTGGAAACTTGCTCAGAAAAGGCAAAAGGCAAGGAAAGAGTAAATGAGCATTTCCTCTTCCACCTTGTTTTAAGAGTGTCCATAACTGAGGAAGAACTACTTTGTGAATATCTATTCCTTCCCAGCAATTCTATAAAGGAAAAAGAATATCTTAAAATTCTGCTGATTACTTTAAGTCATCAACTGTCAATGGATATTTAAATTAAGTCATCAACTGTTAATGGATATTTAAATTAAGTTCAAGGAATGCCAGCAGCTTACCAAATTTAACTGAAGCAAAAAATAAAATTGCACATAGAAATCTAGCAAAAATGGCAATTTAACCAATGCTTATCATCAAATGTCATATTCATTTCAGTTCATAACAACATTAATTGATTGAATGAATATAAATAGTATATGATAAGAAATATTCACAAAATTACTGAATTCTTACTGGAAATAAGAATTTCTCTTCATGCATAAAAAGAACTTTTGATTTTTTGCTGAACTTACTATACAAAATATATAAAACATACATTCATCTAATAACAAAATTTAAGTAAGCTTGTTATGTGGTGCTAACTTATAGTTTTATGTTCAGATGATTAGAATAAGCTCTTTCATGAGATTATTACATTAAAGCATATTGAATAAAACCCAAGAACATTAACAACTAATAATGATATAACACAGGTATTTTATGCAAGTGTGTCAGGGTACTAATCACAGCCATAAAAAACAGGCATTTTTTATAACTATGATATAATTAATAGCACTTTCATTTTTCAAACAATAAGATGATCATATCATATGCCTTCCTCTTAACAATACACAGAATTACCAACACATGCATAGTGAGATGATTTCAGAAATGAATGGGTAGTGCTTTGATCAATGCAAATTACTAGTCTTAGAATTTCTATGACATAGAAATTCTATGTCTATATATCTATAGTCTATTCTATGTCTATATTCTATTTTTCACTCTAATGTCATTTAAATATGCCGATCTTTCAGGATGAATGCCCTCCTCTTAATTTGATTATATAATAATGCAAAACTAAATTATAGATGTTACAGTCATGCATAATTGAATTATGAATATATTAACAGAATTAACTGAATTATGATTGCAACACTCAAGTATTCTCCAGATTGGAGAGAAGGGATTCAACAACAGAAACTGAATGTTACACTACACATAAGCCCATTATTTACAATTTTACACAAACGATTAAAAATTAATTAAGATATTTTCCCCTTGTTACGTGTCCATGACCACAACACCCACTTTGCTGCAACCACCTTTTCACATCTATACTTATTCTGGAAAGAAACAGTGTTGTAAGTAAACAATTTCATTTTCCAGCACCAGTGCATCTAATGTATTAGTAAAATAAATTTAATCTAAAGTGAGACTGATGCTTCCATACAATGCTTAAAAATCCTTTCAGCATGTGCACTGCTATGAAGTACTTACAAAATAGTTAACATTACTTTTATTTATTTATTTATTTAATTTATTTTTAATTTGCATAATCCACTTTCATCTCGCAATCTCAGAATGCTATGTGCCATGCTACTTCAATTCGAAGAGGAGAAAAAACTTCTCTCATTAAAATCAATGAAATGATAAACAGACAGGTTTTTGAACAATCAAACCATGTACTGAACAGAAGAAAAATGAAAGCTTCCTTCTAAAAGAAACATCCTTAACTTATGCATGCTTCAGAAATTCACAGTTGATGGGCATTTTCTTGAGGATGTAGCCACAACCAGCTTTGCTTACACTGGGACAAAATGGACTTCCTTGTTTCCCCAAGACATAATGCCCTAAAGTATACAGTTGTAATCACTGTTCAAGGCAATGAAAATTCCTTTGCCTGAATTATGGGTGGATTTCAACTATGACAATAATAATGATCCTACTGTAGGACTATTACTGTAGAAAGAAACAATACCAAGGTATAACTTCACAGAACTGATATTGCAATTTGAATTGCCAATCCCTTGCTAATGCAAATAGCACGTTTTCCTTTCTCGTAGAATCCACCATGTACTTTAGACCATCCACTTGCAATTTTGTTGGCTAAGGCAAAATCATAAAACATTGATCCAAATAAAGAATTTTCATGGTCAACACATGAAATGGAATTTGTGTTCCACCAGAAATGATGTTTATAATAAGTTTACATTTATAGTAGAATTGTCATTATTTTTATGAAAAAATTATATTGCCTTCAATGCAGATTTTATTTTCATGTAGCCCCGGTGTTTACTAGATTACACATGCAAAATGAAATTACCATAAATGACTGAAAATTCACAATTGCACACAAAATACAACACTTGATTTCTTTGGAAATTCTGAAGCAAGTAAACATGACCACTCTTTCATTCTTTGATATGTTTTATCTTTATTTAGAAGAACTTTGAAAGCAATATTGTAAGTATATTTATGATGACAACAGTTTTTGGTAAAAGAAAGAATCACAAACAATGCGAGCTCATATAAGATGTGCAAGTAACATCAGCACACTGATTTGAGTACATCTGAAATACTGAATGTGACATCAGTACAACAACTGAAATCAATATAATATTGACAGTGACATTATCATACCTGTAAGCTTTGATGTTACACATTCATTCACTCACACAATCATGCTATTCAAACTTGATATTTTCTGTTACAATTTTTTCCACATCCGTTAGTTAGTCTACTCTATAGTATTAAAATTATGAAAAATTTTAAATTATAAATGTCAGAGTCTTGGGCATAATACAGAGTGTGTATCACACAATCATGCATCATGACACATACAAAATTATGTACTGAAGCATGTTAAAAATGCTAACAACATACTACAGAAATTACTCTGGCAGTTATCCAGCACTGCAGATTATCAGATCTACCTTCAATCAAGAACACATGAGAGAAATCACTAGTCATGACACAGGATAATTTTCAAGATGCTCACTAATCGCATTTAATTATGAATGCAGCTTTGGGGTCAGATATCTTCCAAATGTAAAAAATTTCACTATTTATTATAACATGCTGTATAACACAAGTGCTAAGTATGTACGCCATAAACTCACTATATCCACATTAACTGCATGCGAAGCTTATAGTGTGCAACTTCAGAAATTAAAATATCTTCCTATATAATTTTTTCCACTTTCCCCCCCCCACAGTTTTATCTCTTTCCTATTATTAATCTCTAATACAATAACATAAAAGTTGTTGATAATTGGAATGTAAGATCAAATGTGAAAAGCCTCTTAAGAGTTTCAATATGCCTTTGAGTTATTTTGTTAGCGTAAATTTTAGTAGATACAATGATTTACATGCATACATTTATAAATTTAATAATACAGTAAGTTGTTGTTTGAAATATAAAAAATATTTCATACCTCAAATTTAACTATAATGTGCAATGCAGCTTCCCATACAGAAGGGGCAACTACTGGATCACTTTCAGAAAGACAACTAAAAATTGCAGTTACAAGCTTTTTTTCAATTTCAGCAAAAACATCATGCTTGACACGGCACAGACAACTAATCAAGGAATACCAAGCACTACGAATCTATTGTAATAAAATTTAAACAGTTACTATGTGAACAAAATCACAATTAAGCTATTATGTAATTATGTATAACAATCATAAGGCAAATTTTGCAATATTACAATTCAAATCATAAAAAATACAACATTATTATTATAATTTTTTTATAAGAATCACTTCCATCATTTGCAAGAGACTTTTTCTTTCGCATTCCTTAGAAAATGATTCCTGCAATGTTTAATTTATCTGACTTTAAAAAAAAAAAAAAAAAGAATGCATGCATGACTTCTTTCTCTCTTGAAATTGACTGCAATGCATTCTCTGAAAACTTGATGATTTCCCACAAAATTTACATTTTTAAAAGTTTCTGAAGCTATCAGTTTACTATTTTTTTTGGGGGGGGGGGAGACATGTGCCTTGCCCCCAGCGTTTGACATAATCTAAAATGTACTTTTATAAACTTTGCAGCTTCATAAACTTTTTTTCTTTTCATTATACTTACATATCTGTTTGTAGTGCATTCAACAGAAATTTTATCTTGAACAGTCAATTCCAGTTTTCACTAAACAATTCCTGCTCTCAAGCAAGGCAAAAACTTTCTCTCATGCTCTATCTAGAGAATAATTTTAAGACAATTATGCTGCTAATACTTAGCATGAAGCAATTTGAGCAACAAGAAATGTTTAAACTTCTCCATTGGCTCTATTGCCCAAGGGTAGAAAAATCAAGAAAAACTTACCTTTTATTCGACAAACTATAAATACTATACAACTGAGAAAGACAATTTAGAAAAACCAATTTTCAAGACATGGTAAATCTGCTCTTGTAAACAACTTCACTTTCTTTATTAGCATGTCACTCTACTGAGCATTAATCATGTTACATCCCTTTTCTAGAAGTGCAAGAAAAACTTTTGGAAGTCCCCTGAAATTGTCAACATGAATTTCACAGCAAACAACCTGTATCTCAAATTTTTCTTGGTAGATACGAGACACTGCATCAATTCTCTCTTGTTCTCCGATTCATAAAGTCACACTAGGACTCTTCTTCTTTCACAATGTTATATCCTTAAAAATTTCAAATTCATAAAATGCACTATTCTCTTTGACACCCTTTTTTTAAAGCCACACCATGCATTTTCAGTGTCATAATGGCACATTTTGACTTATTACTTTCCCCATTCCTTTGACTCAATATTAGATTAAATAGAACAATCTAGAATAGCAATAAGGAACATTCACTAATTTCAAGATAAAAAAAAACACCTAAATACCCACTGTAGGAAAAGAAAAGGGTGAATTACATAAGCTATGCCTCTGTAATTTGCCCTCCCTTTTAGTGAATAAGCTATCATCAATTTCCACAATTTTACAACGTCCATCAACTTTAACATTAGGATGAGACAAGGCGGGAATGACCGATACCTCTTTCATGTAATTACTTCAAATGTTGTTGAGACTCAATGAAGTTGATATTCTTAGCTTTTGTTTGCAAAATTCAATACATGCTAATTTTTGACCCCACAAGTAAATTAATAAAATGCCAGTAACCATAACCTACAAGCTAAATTTGTATTTGAACACTTTTTTCTTCCCATCACAGCCATTTCAGGTTTAATACAATCTTTATTTGTGAAGAACATATCTTTTTTGAAGAAACAGGACAGTTGCTTCTTCATATCAAGTCATAGTTTCTATAACAGTAAAGATGAATCCACCCAGAAAGGAAACAAAAATCAAACCAAGAAAATATGTCAAAACAAAAAAACTACAAGTTTTAACAGAAAACTGCCCTATTTTAAACTGAACAGGTACTTTTATTTTTTACTGTGTTTTAATTGTACGAAGTTAAAGCAACGTTCACATATTACATAATGAAGTCTTTCATATAATTATAAAGCAAAATGTTTCTCAAAATATAAAAGGGTTTCCAATCACAAGCACATTACTTTACATATTATGAAGTTTGTACTGAGCATTTTTTGAAATATTGAGTATTTTGCACTAAAATAAAAAATTAAAAAATTCCTGTTTTTGCCCAGTTCTATGCACATGTAACATTTCTTTATACAAGAAGCTCAAAAATATTCTAAGACCAAAATGAAATTCATCAACAATCATTCAATGAGTAGATAAGATATTAATCAATAAGCCTCTTCCTTATTCTAATAGACATCCAGATATTTTAAAATTAATAAAAATATTTTACCTTAACATTCAGTAAAACATAAAATTATTAAAAATAACGCTGTATTTATCATTGTACAAGGTCAGTCTAAAAAGTATCTGACCCTAAATTTTCCCACCAAAGGTAATGATGCTAGAGGGTGGCACCACCGTGCACAATGTAAGGAGACAACTTAATACACATGCTCGAAATTTCTCTCTACATAGGAGTGTGCCAGTCACTGCGTGTTTGCCACAAAGTAGACGCTGTTACAATTTTTCATCGAATTTTTTATTTCTCTCAAGATGACTAAACCAGTTTAGCAAAGATACTGCATCAAATTTTGTCAAAAGTTTGGTGTTTCTCAAACCAAAACAATTTGCACCCGGGAAGCATGCATTCGTAAATTGCACGAGAAAAATACGTGCAATTTACGAATTGCACGAGAAAAATACGTGCAATTTACGAATGGCCTTTCGTATAAAATACGTTCAAATTGAACGTAAAAATATCATAAAAAGTGTCCAGTGGCAATTACTAGATATTTACGTATATTTTTACGTTATACTATAAGTAACTTTTACGTAAAATTTAGGTATATTTACGCAAGAAACTGCTGTTCATTCGCAACTTTTACATATAATATACGTAAATTTCAGGGATTTACGTATATTTTTAGCACAAATTTACGTATATTTATCGCATATACGTAAATCTCAATTTTTTGCTTCATGTATGCATATAGATTTAGTAAAAATTTACGTAAATTTCTCAGATTTTTTACTGTATATAAACGTACATATTAGGTAAAAATTAAGGTAGATATTCCGCATATTTTACGGTACAAAAACATATATATTTGATAGAAATTAACGTATATATTTCCCGTATTTTATGGTACAAAAACGTATATATTTGATAGTAACTGACCAAAATATTCCCTATGTTTTCTTTGCATATGCGAATGACTGGTAAAAATTTAATCCGATGTCTTCTCCACTTTACTGTGTATAAAAATGCACATTTTTTGGTAAAAAATTTGCATAAATGTCCAGTTACCTTTTCAGTGCATTTTTCGTAAAATGCACTTATTTTAATCTCATATTTTTTATATAAATCTATGCAAAAACTTCCTGCATGCTATGATTAAAAGATAAAACGTCATTTTTATATCAAATTCTTACATATCTGCCTTTTAGTTATGTACAGTAATATGGAATATATATAACTGGAAAATTTAAATGCACTAGTAAATAGGGGAAGGGGGAATTCTATTCAAAAATTATATAACACTTAAAGGCTGAAAATCACTTTTAATATTTCAAAGTGACTATAAAATATGCAATAAATTTCGTAAACATCAATTCTATGTTTTAAATTAATTAATGCTATCATTCATTTACATTTTTGTTTACTAAATTCATTTCATAAATTTAAATTTAGTAAACAACTGTAGCAAACAGTTGTTTACTAAATTCATTATTAATAAATAACACTTTAAATAAATTATTTGCTTTTTCGAAGGACATTTTCTTATGCCATGTAAATAAACGATAGCATTAATTGATTTAAAGCATAGAACTCAGGTTACCACTTTGAAATGAAATATTAAAAGTGATATTCAGCCTTTAAGTGTAATGTAAGTTTTGAATAGAAATTATTTTTTTTGCATTTAAATTTTCCAGTTATATTTATTCCATATTGCTGTACATACCTAAAAGATGGATAAGCACATTTTATGAAAAATGCAGTAAATAGGTAATTGGAGATTTATGCAAATTTTTTACCAAAAATGCGCACTTATACACAGTAAAGAAGAGATGGCATCGGACTAAATTTTTACACATTCGCATATGCAAAGAAAACATAGGGAACAAAGAATATTGCGTATACCACACATAAACTACATACCTACCTTACCTCTCAGCAAAAAGACTCGTCCTGCCTAGGTCACGCACATGCGGAGTGACACGAAGAATGGATCCTTGTATTAGCTCGCGGTCTAAAGTAAGTGTTTTTTCAGGATGTTTTCCAAACAAGAACAATGATGTTGGATAAAAATTGAATGTGCCAGAGGTCGTACAGCACGACAGTGTCATTAAGGGCTTCAAGAGGCTTGCGGGGAATCTACATTGCCTTACAGAACCGTAACAAGATGGGTGAAAGCATTCAATGAAGGACGCCAAAACGTGGCAGACACGCTGCGACCAGGTCGTCCGAGTGTCAGCGATGCAGACGTGCAAGCTGTTGCCGCACTAATGGACAGTGATTGTCGGCAAAACGATTCATCAGCTGGCCAGACAAACAGGATTAGTGCATACAACTGTGCTGCACATTCTGAAGGAACGCCTGTCCATGAGAAAATTGCTTCACGATGGGTTCCACATCAATTGACGGAAATGCAGAAATGGCTACGATACGATGCTTCCCGAACCCACCTGGTGCGCTATGAGTGCGAAGGAGATGCTTTTTTACGCCGTATCATTACGCTGATGAGACTTGGGCCTGATCGTACCAGCCAGAACTGAAACGCCAATCAAACGAATGGCGTCATCACGGGTCACCACGACGTTCGAAATTTCGTCAGAACCCCAGCAATGTGAAAGTTATGATGATTCTCGTGTACGACTGTGATGGTGTCATCCTAACGCATACCGTTCCCCCACAGCAGACCGTCACTACGCAGTATTATTGCTCATTTTTGGAGCACAATCTCTGACCAGCTTTGAGGAAAAAACAGCGACACTTTCTGCAGAATGCTCCTCTCATTTTGCATGACAATGCTCGGCCACATGCAGCGCAAGCTGTGACTGATTTGTTCAAGTGATGGGGCTAGGAAGTGCTTTACCATCCACAATACTCCCCAGATCT